AATTATGATATTATAATACCTAGGTATACTGCTGTCTGCTGCATTGAATCGGACTGTGAACGCGAGTCTAATAATATAATATGCTATTCAGTATTCACACTATGTATTGTATTAATATTTAATATATTATATTAGGAGTATACTATATAGGTACAGGTGATTTCTGTTAACGTGTGACATTGAAATTTTTCCATGATAGATATTTCAGGGAATTCATCGAGTGTTTATATGCCTGCAGTATACTATTATAATTTATAAGTACTTCGATTTTTTAAATTTGTATGATGTATATATTTTTTTATGTAGGTGCCTATCTCAAGTTTAAGTATAACTCAGAAGCTTCAAATTCGAAATTAAGTTGAAATTCTTTAAAATTTTCACCACTTATAACAATGTACAGTAAAAAAAAGCGAAATCTGCGAAATCGTGTAAAAGTATTTGTAAATATGGTATTTAAGACGTAAATCCACTATACCTGTATTAAATAAGTTTAAGACGTATCTACTTGAAAATTTCAAAAATGAAAACTTGAATTATTAGAATATTGTGAAAAAATAAAAATTAAAGGCTTGGTGAATCACCCTGTAGTTATATATACAAGTAGGTATATACTCTGATTTCCGAAACGTAAATTATATTATTGTTCCACAACACATAATATAACGTTTAAACTATCAATATAATATACTACCACAATACCATGTACGTATTGTATTTACCTATACGTGTGTATTAAATTTTTTTAAATTTGTGTGTTATTGTTCAATCTCGTTGTAATATATATATATATATTTATACGTTTATATAAGATTACGCCTATATTATTACGCATTTTATCATATTTACGAGCGATATGTATAGCTATGTGTACATAATAGCTGCCTGCTATATATATTTAGTCAGTGGAGTACAACTGTACAAGGGTTACACCCAAAACTTAAAAGGTCACCGTTTGACCCAAGTGTGTACTTTGATTTGTGTGTGTGTTGTGTATTTTATGAATATGATATATATTCGTTTACGTTTAGCCATATAATAGGCATATTTTATATCTGAATATAAACACATATAGATATCTATTCAATATTATTTATAATACACGTTTTCGGACATCACCATTATTCGTGTGGTCATTATAATTTATGATAAATATTATTATAATAAAGCAGGTACATAATATTATAATGTATATACATAATATGCAATATACTCGTTTTTATTAGTCTTGATAGGAGAATGAATAAATATTATATAAATACGATATATACCTATAAATAACTATATAACAATAATTACCATAAAAATATATAATTACTCTATAATATGCACAATTATAATAAAATAATGTAATAATTAAACATAGTAGGTAGTAAAGGTACGTAAACATATTATAATATACCTACATTAATATAATATTACGTCGTCAGAACCTATTCGTTTTCGTGCACTTAACGTATAATTATTAACTGCTCTCATTTATGTGTAACATAATATACGCATAGTGTATAGGTAGTAGGTACAAAGGTATGTACGAGTGGTTTTTCACTCATTTTTTTTTCTTTCGAAATCGTTCCCACAGCGCGTGCACCGTGGCGGCAGCAGCAACAGCGGCGGCAACGGCCAACGGTATATACTACAATAATAATATACCTACTATTATACAGGCAGTAGAATATAATATCGGCTTTTGCGGACACGTCCCGGCGGAATCAACTCGTCGTCGTAGTCCACGAAGGCACGGTCTCTCGGTCCTGCAGCTCCGTCGTTTGCCATCACAATACACTTATTATAATAATACATATATTATATTATAATGCTGGTACGAGTGGTACGTATTAAATATCCGCATAATACCGTTTATCGTGTAATATTATCAACTTAAATCATTCTCATCGGCACGTCGTAATTTAATCAAATATACAACTCCAGTGTAATAATACGAACATCAGAAATTCAGAACACTATTATAATGGTTGACGGGTAGGTGCCTATGTTGCCGGCGGTCTCAGACTATTAAAGTATTATACGCAGCACCTCATAAAAATATATTGTAATGATTCGCACCGACCATTATTATAGTGCAGGCGTATTTACTGATTGGTCTCGAATGGTAGGTAGGTACATACGTCTCGGTCCAGAACGTGTTCAGACTGTTCAGTGTTCAATATAATTACTAATAATTATTATATACTATACTTAAACATCGCGTGTAGTAGATTACACATGATATTACCGATGTAAAAATATACTATTACTAATGGTTTTTTTTTTAGTATGAACTTAATTCTGTTTTTATGTAAAAAGAGATAAATTGTTTTTACTTTTATCTTTTTATGCGTAATTCGAGAATATTATAGCTACAACTATAATTTAACCACAAACCACAAACGACAAACATATAACAATAATGTGTTATACAACCACAAAACCTTGACTATGCTTTACTTTTTAACATTAATTCGTGATTTTGAGAATTTGGGTAGGTATGTACGCCAGACACGTCTAAAATGTAATAATATCCATGCTTATTATGTAATAGGAATCGATTTATGATTATGCAAAATGCAAGTATATTATATGTATTACATTATGATAAATCATGAATGACATAATGAAATATGACGTGGTTTGATCAAGTCTAATAATGTGCCCATAGTGGATATCCTGTAAAATATTTGGGGGCTTAAGTATTTGGTAGTAAACAGATATTATGTGGGGGGTCTATTGCTTCTAAGTAGGGGGTACTTATCTTACCGTTAAACTATTAGACTTTTTATAGAACTTTTTGTTAAGTTAATAAAACTTACCGATCTGAACAGAATAAATAAAATATTTTAAGGTTCTAGAATATTACCTTTTTGTAAATTATACTGTCTACGAGTAATAAAATTAGTAAAATTACAAATTGTAATTTTGATTTGTACACGTACGGAGTACTTACTAAAGTCTCAAAAGTTCAATTCAAATTTTTATCTAACCTAAACATTTTAGAACTGAATTAAACATTTAAAGTATAGTCTCTAGTTCAGTTCAAAATTTGAATTATCCATTTTAGATGCAATAATATTCAAAAATAAATGTCCTAAAATAACGAAAATAAGATTCACCACATAGTTTTATGCTATGTTTTAAGTTTTACAAATATTGATTAGAACTACATTATTACAATATTTTTGATATGCGTTGAAATTGCATTTAATGTTTGTATTTTTAAATATATTTGTCGATAAAAGTTTAAATTTCAAGTATCTAGATCATTATTTATTTACGACTATAAATAATTGAAATAGATACATTTAATAATTTGGTAAATTTACCGTTTTCAGTTCAAATTTGTGCTTAATTGTTTAAGACAGCGGTTCTCAAACTTTGGTATACTATCAATCAGTCGAGTACCACTGATGATCATACAAATAAAAGGATACAAACTTTACATAGTTAAATATATTTATTTTAAATAAAAATGCACTAAAATACTACAATATAATAATTATTTATTTATTTATACAAATTTATAAGTGTTTAAAAATTATAAGGTACGAATTAAATAACAAATGTTCAATAAGAACCATGGATTTGTAGATTTGATTTTAGCGATGAAATATCTGGTCCAGTGTTACTTAAGGCCTTCCATGTACCAACATGTAGTCTTTCGCGTACCACTAGTGGTACGCGTACCACAGTTTGAGAACCACTAGTTTAAGAAAAGAGTTAGACACAAAAAATACAATTTTTGATAGTTTTTTCCAAATTATTGAGAATTTCGAAAAATCATATTCATTCCAAAAAAATGCGTATAGACTATTTTTTTTTGGACCAGTATATCTACCCAAAAATGAATAAATACACAAAATAAAAAAGTAGAAGAAATAAATATCATTGTAAAACGTTTGAGGCGTAAGCCCCTACCACAACAATCTCCGCCTTTGAATGTGTCACACCTCGTCATACATTATTTATTGAACAATTATTATATAACCGCTTCAAAACCATTAGATTGATTTTATTCTATTTATACAAGGAAAATTTGATAGGTACCTGTCATCTGGATATCTACTATATACACCAGTGTCGCCGCGTCGGTGGTTTTCGAATAAATAATTTTCAATTTTTGTAGTGGCCTGCACTTTGTATATGTATGCCGTATTAGTAAACTTATTACATACACAAAATATGTGAGTCCTGTGACCTGCAGTATACAACTAAAACATACCTAGGCATTATTATATCATAATCATATTATAGGCAGGTAAATACTAAATACGTGTTTCAGTATTTGGGTGTGTACATCGCATGACGTATATAGTTATTATTTCAGTTATGAAACAATATTATTATTGTAACACATTTTTCGAACATTATGACGCATAGACTCTGTTTACACAACGACCTTGCGACGTGTCTCTCTGTAAAGGCCCAAAGTAAAGAGTATATAGTATATATACATTTTTATACCTTTTTCGTTCACCACCCCGTCGCCGCAAATCACGAGCCCTTTTCTCTATCATAAGTATATCGTGAATAACACTCTCCCACGCTCACCCGCTCTCCCACGTTTCCGACGCGGTCTCTCCCTCGGACCCACCGTGCGCCTCACCAACACCGCCTTTGTCGCTGTCTGCGTCTTTCTCACTCAATCACCGCTGCCTTCTACACAGTATACGCGCCGACGCCCGCGCCGTACCCACTCGGGGCCCGTCGTCTTTTAGCGCGATAACGCGTCCAAGGGTTTTTTTTTTATTATTATTATATTTCCACTATCAGCATTCGATTTGTCAAAATTGTTAAAGCCATCGGTCGCGTTTCATTGTCGAAAACGTAATTCAATAATAATAGCATTGTTGGCGTTTCGTGCGGGCACGCAAATGAATCGAACAATACGAGCGCCGCCGCCAAGTACAGCGACAAAAACAACAGGAACGCCAGCGACAGCCAACAGCGGCATCAGCGGCAATAGCAGTCGTGGTACTAGACGGTAGTTGGACCAACGTCAGCGCAGCAGTCGGTCTGTCGTCGTCCGTTTAATGCGCTTCGCGTCCGCACCGCCGCCGCAGTCTCAGATAACGCACGACGACGACACCGTCGACCGCTATCGGCGTCTGCTCTGCTCTACAGTCTACAGCGTGGTGCACACTGCACGCTATCGCGCTGCTCAATCGCTATCCGCTTCAGACGCTAGTCGCTACTGCTGCTGTCGTGACGTGCTGTCGTTCTCGTCGTTCGCCTGCTCGGTCGTGTGTCGATACAGCACCACGTAAAATTTCGCGTCCCGTGGCCAATGCTATAATATTGTCTGCGACTATGTTTACGATGTGAGTTTCTTAGTCCGCACAACGGCAACTCGACCAACGCCGTCGTCGTCACGATGCCTTGAAATTTAGGTAACTATCCGACCGGTGTTGTTGTGTAACCTCCCGTACATTGTACTTTAAATACAAATGTTGTAGGTACCTATGACTTGCGATGACTACCTATCGTGGCACTGTTAGTATGTGAACACTGTTTGACCACCCGAACGCTGTCCTTGGTCGTCAGTGTAACAACATCAGCTGATGTACCTATTTAGTATTAATCAAACATTATAAATGTTTTTGTACAGTCTATGTGTTACTGTGAATACTAAGTTATGGCTAAGAGTTAGACAGCTCAAAAAAAAAAAATAGTTACTTTCCTTTCAAGTAAGAACTCAAACAGGTAGTGCTCAGTGTTGGTGGAGACCTGCATCTGTCCTATCAATTTATTCTCCTTTAACTTCTATAGATAACGAAGAAAAACGTCTTTGCATTTCTCGTTGTTCTTAATAGGCAGTACATACTTTCTCTGATTTTAAATTTTAGTCTGTCTTGAAAATTAAAATTTATTTGTACTCTGCTAGGTATGTAGGTATCATAGCCCTTAATTACATAGGTACCTATACCTATCTTAGTAAAAGATTTGGTACTTACTACTTATAAAATATATCTACCTATGTTTCTGTTATTGAACAGCTATTGATAAGAATAAATTTTTCATAATATGCACACTACACACAATGATTTAAAATATAAGACAGTGCACATAATGTGTTAAATGCATAGATCTATTAATCTCACACTGAACAAAAAAAAAAAAAAAACTACAGCATTCAAATCTCATTTAATATTTAACTTATAAATTAAGATTTAAGTGAAGATATTATAAGGGGGTACCTATTTTAATAGTGTGAAACGATTTGTTTATTTTACTTCAATATGAAGTATGGACCATATTCAGTTTTTATTTTAATTATATTTATTTACTTCATTATTATTTTTTAATAAAAGTGTTAAGATAGGTACACCATTACTTTTATTTGTTTTTCAATTTTTGTAAAATCTATTATTATTGAAAATAATCAATGTTTTTGAGTAAATCTCATATTTCACACTTAGATATGACAAAACACTAGTTATACCTAATAATTGTTGATAAAATATTGTTTCTAAATTCTATCCAGCTACTTCATATACTACCTATATCATATAAACTAAACATAGAACATTTTTTAACACCTATAGGTAGGTATAATTTATTTAATATAAACCTCTGGAATTATAAATCTATTAAAGGTGCAACTAGAATTTATTTTTGTATGGTTATTTAGAGTACACAAACTACACTAAATCTTAGTGGCCATATTCAAATATTTAAATATAATACATATATAAAGACATTTTATTATAGATCATTCATACATTTATGAACATTACTAAATAGGTTATATGAATTTAATAACTAAATGACAGTCATTTGTCAGATATGTACCATCACATTGTATTGTGTAACTCAATCATTGATAATTTGTATTTAAAAAAACATTTCATGGAGAGTTACAACCTAGAAACTGCTCACTGGTTGCTCCATAGCTCCAAAGACTTATTACCTTATTAAAATAATTTTTAAACAGAATATTATAATATTTTATTATTAATAGACTCACAACAAACCATTGTGTGACTAGATAGGATTACATGTATGTGTTAATACTAGTACGATAAATGTATTATTATGTACTTATGGTTTATACACATTGTGTAATAAAGACGACTTAAATTTGTTTGATGGTTAAACATATTAATATCTGTAAACAAATTTAATAAGACTTATTTTACTTAAACGAAAAGATAAGGTAACAGTGATTTTATGAATATTTGTTGTATAAGAATTATAAGTGATTTTTATGAACTAGTAGAGATAACAATTTTTCAAACTATGATGATGGGTAAACCATTTATTATGTATTACCTAGTTATACAATACCTAGGTAAAAATCTAAAAATTAAATAATCCCAATGTTCCTGTACTTTTTTTTCACTGGTAAATTTGTTATAAATATATATTTTTTAAGTTTAATAATAAATAAATATTTTTTTAAACATTTCATATTTTAGTATAAGTATTATAAAATCTCTATAAATTGCAAATATTTTCAGAAATAAAATAATTACAAATTTAGTCAATATTTCAACTCAAATATATATTTTCTTGGATTTATTTTTTAACTAAGTTTCCAAAAACTAGCTTATTGTAATTTTGATTTTTTATTTAATTTACTTTTCCGTGTCAAATATGGAATCGATACAATATGATTACTAAAATAAAGTGTTAATAAAAAAAATGGTAGAGTCTGTGTTGGCTTATGTACTTCTATATGTTTTGAAGTATTTGAACAAAGTTTAATTATACTTTTTTTTTGGAAACTTAACTATTTTATGTTATGTTTAAAATATAGATTTTAAATATTTACTATTTTTGTTAATTTATAAAATATTTCATTGTTATGGGAGGTCATACAAGTGAATGCTTATGTTAGACAGTAATAATTCAGTGTACTTCCATTTATACTTATATAAAATTAAAATAAATCATATTTAGGTACACACACCTACATATTATTTGTATGCTTTCTTGAAACATTATTTATTCATTTTTAATTAATCAATGTTAATTTTTTTCCAATATATCTATAAATTATAAAATCTATTGTATCAATTCTATTTAAACCAATAATTCCAAGCTGGTTGTTCATCCAATGTATGTAATCTATTTTTTTTTTTCATAAAAATTAACACTATAGCTTATTAAGTATGGTTTAAAATTTTATAATCTATCGCATATACATAATTGTTTTTAAATCAATGATAATTTATAATAATGAATATATTGCACACACGGTTAACAAATCACTGCTTATTGGGAAGGGAAGGGAAGGGAAGGGAATACTGACACAAAAAGAAGAAGATACTGAAGATTAATTCTTACAACTTGAACTAATAAACTCAGTTCTGACTACTGATAACCATTGGCTGTAAAAAGTTTTTCAACTAGATAGTCTATCTTCTTGTTTTTAATTTAATTTGTATTGAAAAATTACATGGGTATTGTAAATATTTTAATAATAACTATACAAATTTAATTATCACATGAATAAATTATTAAAATTTTAAGAATACATTCTAACTAATATTTTTAAATATAATTGAGTGTAAATTTAACGTACAATTCAATTGTTAATGAGTCATAAATTATGAGCTTGTAAAGTTAAATTTTAATAAGAAATAAATATATCAATATATCATTTCTTAATGATCTTACATTAAAAATAAAATAATGTACTTGCTTAAGTGACCTTGTAAGTTGAAATTATACTATTGTATGATACATGATTTTTTCGATCTGCTGGTATAAATATGTTACAAGGTTTCTGGAAAAAAATAACATCTTTGTTAGACCAAAACCTTTTACTCCATTCTGAAATCATAATTTAAAATTTATAAATAGGTTAAGTTTATCAGTAACAAAACCATCTCTGCTTAAATTTAAAATAAATCACTTTTTGACACAGAAATTAAAGAGAAAAATATTTTTGTATTATGAAATACCTAGCCATTTTATTCAAACATTTATTTTTTGAAAAGTCAATTATTTATGTTTAAAATAACTGTTACTTCTAAAGAATATGTTGAGGGTTATATTTGGAATCACAATCAAAAGCTATGTAGTGACTAAGAAAATATATTTTTTAAATTAAGTTAACCATAGAACTTCTTAATTTTATACTTATTTATCTAAAAATACCCTAGTTTTAAATATAAATTCAAGTTATGTGTTACATTTTAATATTCTCATGCATTTTTTTAACGTTTAACATTTTTTAATCCTAGTAGAAATAGACAAATTTATCAAAATAACAGTTTATATAAAATTATTTACAGTAATTGTTTTTAATATTAACTGTACACTGAAAATGGTCCTTTTTTACAAACTTTTTTTATAAGAAATATACAATCTATACAACAAGCACAGTAGGTATATTTAAGGTTGATAATAAAAACATTATTGTGGCTGCCTGATTAAGGATCCAACCATTAGTGACACATAGCTTGAGTTTGATGATCAAGCTAGAAGATCACGATTCAATTTTCTTTTTAAGTCTAACTTTCCAAAAAGCGAAAGGGGTGTAAGCTGTTTATCAATGAATTTGGTGGTTTTCTAATCTAGTAAAGAAACATTTATAAAAGATTAGTGCTTCTCCTTTAATGTTCTAATGCTAAGATCTTTGTGGACGTCAGGTTAAAGACAGAGATATTTTGTTATATTTTTGAATGCTTGACATTTGTGTTTAAAATTGATTTCTTAGCAGATCCATAAAGTTGAATCCCCTTACTTATGATTTTTTATAATTTGCTGTTATTTGAGATATAATGAAATTACTTATATTTTTTATTTAAAATATTATAAAATAATAGATAATAATCTTACCTTCAAATTGTATAAGAGGTCATTTTACTCTAACTTTAGACATTATTATGATTATAATCATTATTGTGAATGTAATATTTGGTATGTTGAGAAAAACATTTGCCAAGTCAGAGATTGCATGCAAAACTTTCTTGATTTTTAAATTTTAGAAATTTATCAACTGTATGTAATATATATGTATTTTCTTACAATTTGATCAAACCAAAATTATACTTTAAGGAAATTATTAATTGCAAATTAATTTATTGAGAAGATATTAGATTATAGTAGAATATAATAGGTTGAATGTAACTGGTTTGAATTTAAAAGTTATTTAAGTCATTTTGCTTGTTTTATTTATTTAATTACCTATTTATTAAATTTTATACCAAATAGTGTACCTAATATGAATATTTTCTGATATCACACCCAAGCGGTATAACAATTTGAACACAAAAAAACGTGTGTGAACAGCCCCTCAAAAAAAAATCATTTTCATTTAGTGTGATAGATCTCCGAAACCAGAGAGTGGATTTTGTTGTTTAGGGTCATGTTAGATGATATTCGCAATGGCTAGGGGAAGTGCTGTGAAGACTTTCAGAACTTTGTCTTTAATAGTTAATTTGATACGGAGTAAACAACGAGTTTTGTAAAAATTTGAAATTAATTAAATGCTTGACTTATGATTTTTTTGATTTTCTCCTTTATAAAATGTAATTGTGTTCTTAATTTTCCTGTAAATAACTAGGCTGCGAGTAATAAATGTTAAAATCCTTACACTTACTGTAAATTGTACCTATATAATTGCATTATTCTATGATACAATTTTATCGTAACTAGGTATATGACTATACAGTAATTTATCAATATATAGTTTTTGATTGTTTTTCTAAAATAAATTGTAATGGTTGTCATTATTTAATGTGTTTTGTATTTTTTAAATACTAAAATTAATAATTAAAAGTAAACTATCTAAATATATATTCAAATGAGTCTAAATATAGTCTATTCATCTTTTATTATTTATACAGTGCAAATGTATATGCCTAAAATAACACTTAAAATTTGCCAAGTGGTTCAGTTATCAAGCTTCTATATTTTTATATCAAAACATTTTTCAAAGAAAATCTGTGTCTTTATGGGAACATAAATATTTAATAATGAATTATAGAAATTTGAATAATTAATTGCATTAGGCATAACCAGATTATTCAGATCATTTCATAGTTTATTGGCAAATTAAACACTTGAGTTCGAACAAAATTTTAACGAGTGTGTTATTATTCAATAATTATATAAAAAAGCTTTACATTATTTTGAAAATTTGAATAAAATGTACTTCTTAATCCAACAAATTATTTAAATCTGGACTCAAGTTTAATAAATATCTTAAAAAATTGTGTTAAGGGGATTTCTGCATACTTTTTGTTTTCTCTCTTTGTCCCACTCTCAACATAACAAATGTATCATCAACAGAACTTAAAGTTAAGAAAAAATATAATGGTTTATCGGTGACTGAACATTGCAATTTTTAGTATATTTCAATTTTAAAGCGATTTTCATACTTTAAGTTTGATTCGTTTATATTCTAGCTTAAAAACACTTGGATGGTTCTGCTGAATGCAAATTTGCTGTGTTTTACGTGTGTCAGAAAGATAAATAATTGTGCTATGATATCCTCTTATATAATATACTTTGAATCTTAATTTTATTACTAATAATTGATTGTATTTATAGTATGGAAATCTTCAAGGTGAGCTCCAAGCATAAAGTAAATCATTTGACCCATCAATATGGAACCAGTTGTGGAAGAAGTAAGAGACATTACTGTTCGAAAAGTAACACGATGGTGTTGTTCAACAATCATGGTATTTGGAGGAGTAGTCCCATACATTCCACAATATCGAGAAATATACATCAAACAAGATGCAGAAGGCTTCTCAATGTATGTGTGCCTTGCACTTTTAGTTGCAAACACTTTGAGAATACTATTTTGGTAAGTGTTAATTACATAACAATTTATTATTCAAAAACACTTATTAAAAATTAAATAACTTCATTATAGGTTTGGTAAACGTTATGAGCTTCCATTACTATTCCAAAGTATTGTAATGAATATTATGATGTTACTTATGATACACTTATGTGTAAAAGTTCGTAACAAAACGCAGTTAATCAGAGGACCAGACAGATATTTTACTGGTATAATTTGTATAATATTATGTTTTTCTTATTAATTTTTTTTATAAATTATTCGATATTCCGATAATTAATTAGGTAATTATTTTTATAATTCTTTATAGATTTTGATTGGCATTACTTTTGGCAATGGACAGACTTTCAATCTTATATAGATTTCTTAATCGCTATGAGTATTTGTCTTTCCATTATAACATTCATATTTCTGCACAATGTTATATTCATTGAAATTATCGGATTTCTTGCTCTCCTAACTGAAGCCATGTTGGGTGTTCCTCAACTAGTCAAAAACCTGAGAAATCGTTCTACAGAAGGAATGAGGTATTTATTAGTATGAATATTTAAATTATGACATTATATTTTATTAGTTTGTGTACCTACTCAATAAAAGTATTAAATTAAAATTATTGTAGATAATTATAACATAAATGATTTTTTATTTTTTTAAATTATGAAACTCTTGTCTTTTACCTTGTTAAAAGGTGACCTTAAAATTCTTAAAACCTAAGGTGGTGTATGCAATTAGGTATCTACAAATCAACATATTTTTCCTCTTAAAGGCTTTAAAAATATAAATTGTTATCAATATTTAGTTCCCATAATTATTAGTATAAGAAAATTAAAGTTAATCAAATTACTTTTATTTGCTCTATGAAGATTTAAATTAAGGAGACTGTACTTTCAAATAAAATGATACATATATCGACAATCATGAAAAAAGATTTGAAAATTATCACCGGGTGCACTCTGATCCCATATAATTTTATAGAATACATTACATAAATGAGTGAAAATTTTTTTCAAATTTAAATTTATGCATACATGCCTCATAGTGATGTGTATATTTCTTAATATTTTATAGTAGCATAATGTATAGTCGGTTTAAATTCGTGGTAGACTTTAACTAGGTAATGTATAAGTATTTTATTTTTGAATTTGAATTCCCATCTTCAATTTTATTAATTTATGATATTTATAAATTATAAAAGGTATATTATTCTTATAGAATATATTATAGAGAGATAATTAATAACAACAAATCATATATAATGTATATTATATATTTTTAATTTGTTAATGGCAAAGAATCTCAGAAATAACTTAAAATTTTGTTTAATAGTGTTACAATGGTATTACTTTGGACAACAGGAGATGCATTTAAGACATGTTACTTTGTAAGTCGAAAAGCTCCTCTACAATTCTGGATGTGTGGTACACTTCAGGTTATGATAGATCTGACAATACTTGGTCAAGTAGTCTGGTACCGTAATGAACCACCATATAAAATTCCTCGAATAGACTGATGTGTAAATTGATTATCTCGATATAATATTTTTAAATTTTCCAAGCTAAGATTGTTATCATCATTGTTAGATCTTCTATTCTCAAATTAGACATTGAATGTAGTTTGTTAATGTTTGTTTATTTAGTGAATTTTATTTATTTATTTATTTTTACTGTATCAGGTTAGTTGAATATTCATCGATATTTTATTAAATTTTACTAAATGCATCAACCTCCATCAATTGTATTTGCTATAGACTGTTAAAAATAAGAATATATTATTAAAAATATTTGTATGATTTGAGTTTATGAGAATTTCTCAACCAATAATTATGTGCACAATTGTAATTGAAACAACATAAATATCATCACATGTTATTTTATAGATTTTAGGGCATTTACCTTCAAAATAGTTTATGTTAAATAGACAGAAATATGTATTGTGACTACACTAAGTAAACTAGAGACTAGATCAATATATATTTTGTTGTATTTAGGGGCCATCACTCGGTCATATTCTTGACTTTACTACCCTATACCTATAAAATATTAGTTTATCAATGTATTAGTTATTGTAAATAATTTGTTGATACTTTATATTGTTTCTGTGTTATTATTTACTTCCTTATATTATATGACATAAACTTGTTAAAAAAAAAAAAGAATAACAGATTTTTTCAATTGTACTTCTCCGTCTTTGAATCGATCTTATTGTCTAGAAATGATTAGTCATACTTTGTACTCGGCATCTTTTTTATAGTCTTCCATGTGCACAAATAAATTGTAATATTTTAAATAACTATTTAACTTTGTTTGCATTTAATTTTAATAACATTGATTTGAACATAGTTTGCAATAAAAATATTCATATAATATTTAAATAATTACAATTTTTTATCTTATAAAACTTTAATTTGTATTAACTATACTTAATAAAATTAAATATAAAATAAAATCCAAAAAATATTTTTGTTTACTTAATAACTGATTTAAAAGCAACAAAAGTTACAATATTTGGTTAGACATTTATTTTGAACATTATTCTATGACTTGTGTAAAAAATAAAATAGGAATAATTGAAAAGTAAACATTTTATGTAGACATTTTGTAAATTAAATTTATTGTAAATGTATGGTAATTTTATTCAAATACTATTAATTAATGTTCATATAACTTAATAATATCTTAACTTGTTTGGCGGAGAAGTATTTGAACAAAGTTAATCATTAATATCATAATTAATGATATAAAATATGAGAGAATATAAAATATTTATGCATTTATAATTGATATATTAATGATTAATTGTAATTAATAAGTATTTGTTTATTAAGATTTAAAATTTGTGAAACTAATAATATTATAAATTATAATGTAATAAAATAGTTGAGATGTTGGTGCCTGTATTTAAAGTTACTGAGCTATTTTTAAAATACCTATATTTACTATATAGAATACCTATAATGTCAAACATTTGTGATAGCTTTCGAGTCATTATTAATATTTAAACCTTAAATGTTTTGTGTTTAGTAATGGGTATAAATATTTTATTAAAATAATTTGTATATGTAGTATGTAATTAAATGCTTATTATATATCTAATTGTAATAAAGTCCAAAAATGTATTAAGATATGTCCTTATTTCAGAAATGACAGCGCTTTATTGTGTTATAGTAGAAACACGTTCCTTATGTTTTTCATTGACGCACAACATTTTTTTCAACACTTTTGAAAAAAAACCTCAGTTTTTAAACTATAACATTTCTGAAATTATGGATAACTCTGAATGCATTTTTGGTGATGTCACAAAATTGAATTATTTGTATATTTTTTTCATCAAACGGCTGTGTCGTCTTTTAAAGTAATAATAGATTATATTTCTAAATTATCAAACAGCCTCCTTTTATTATTCATACTAAATTGTCTTGTTGAATTTGACGCTTGATTTAATTACAATTTTTTTATATCAAAATGAACCTACATTTGTATCATTAAATTTTATTTACTGTTGACTATACTTTTACGCTGTAATATGCCACATTATTAACTCCTATTTTTTTTTTTAATCGGCTGCTAGCTGACCACTAAGTCTTCCCTTATTTTCTCACATGATTAATTACTAACTGCACATACATTTTTACATTTTATTATTCTCTTTTGGTCACACATTAATATTATGAACTTTTGTTGTATTTAATTATATGTTTTATTCTACACTTGAATTTCATATATTTCATCATTTAATTATTCAACTTTAAATATTTTGAAATAATATTTTAATATTTAAATACTATTATTATTTATTTATTTTTAAGTAATTAAATAAAAATGCGTTATTACAAATCAGTGTCTCATTGTCCCGAAAGTTTAAATGAATCTCATGTTTCATTTTTCAATTTATAGCTGTTCTCAATAATATTGTTCCAACTATTCAATTTTAACTTAGCATAATGAATTAGTGTTAATGAAATGTGAATTATAAATTATATGTTATTTAATTATTAGTAATTATGTTATTTTATTGTATTGGAAGCAGTGGCTTCAAACCAAAAATAATATATATTTTTTTTTTGTTATTATCTGCTTAATAGATAAATTTAAATTTATAATTTTGTATTGTGAGTGTACTTTTGATAGTAATTCAAATTTCAGATCCATAATTTATTTAAAATTGTCTCTTGTATAGGTTTTAAGGGTTTCCTAATCAAAAACAATACAATTTATATCAAATTTATTTACAATAATATGTGTATAATTTGCTTCACAATGCTATAATGAATGTGTACAATAGAAACATGTTAAGTAGTACATTGTGATTATAATTTAATGGATATTTCTCCAGAAAACTAAACTTCATGACACCAATTCATATTTGTTTATAATTCATTATATCAATAAATTATAAAATCATGTAAAAATCTGTATTAAGACTGTCTGTCTTTGGTATTTGCAACAGCTTACAATCGCGTTGAAACGAATTTTTCTATAAACTTTTGGCATTTGCCCTCATTTTCAGTAGGTAACAATAACAACTAACAAGTAACAACAATTTAAATAATAACAAAATCCGTCCTATTCTGAATCATGTCTAACTGATATTTTCAACAATATCCGCCAGGTCACCATTGACAGGCACTTTAAACCATATTTTACTATCACATTTTGACTCTTGAATTCTAGCATTACATTCTGCGAGAAGTATCTAATTCAGATCATCATTTTATTGTATAGGTAATCATGTACCCATGTATTTATTATTCCGTATACTGTTGTAATTCAATTAATGCCGCGGTCCGTCTCGCTTTTAGGTCCTGTTAGGAACCTTTGATGTGTTTTTCTGAGTAGTTTAATAAGTTGCGGTAACTTGAGTTACTATACATTGCCTATGCGCTATTCCCGACGTAGGTACGTATTGTGTGATAGATAATAAGTAGGTACCCACCCCCCGCGATAGAAAAGCACACGCTCGGTACGAGTAAACCTAAAAAATACATTATAGGCTAATGTCCTAAATCCTAATGCATCGATATAATATAATGTAAAACCTTGTACATTAGATTTCTCCTCTCGTCGTCGGTTTCGTGTGTGTTCATACGTGCTTACTGTAATGCTTTCTAATGTCCCGTTCGTTCTCCTCGCACTACCACCCACGGACCTATTGTCACCCCGGTATATCGGGGCGTTCAAATATTACTATACGCCTATAGAATTTCGCACGGTCGTCATGCTCGGGATAATAACAGTATATTGGCATAATATTTCGTTTCAAATTATTATTTATCAGTATAAGTATTTTGATCGGTAGTGTTTGCGTGTGTATGTTGTGTGCACAGCATATTGATTCTGCCGGCATTGGCGTCGTATGTGTCCTCACTTATGTAAACATTAATGCATATTATATTATAACGTTATGAATTATTATTATGTAGGTACTAGATTGTTTTTACGGAAATTTTCGTTCGATAGTTGAGCATTACCGTTCTACGTGTTCTCGCGGCAACCGCACAAATATCCCGGCCAACCCAAAAAAAAATCCCCAACAACTCGTTATAGTCATGAAACTATGATTATTATTTTCTGTACCTAATGTTAACTGTAGGTGTATAACGATGTCCAGCCCTTGTTTAAAAAAAAACTCGTACCTATAATACTACACACGCTGTATGTCCGTGTTAAGCTCAAAGTGTGCGGAGGCGTAAAAAGTTGTGAAAAAAAGTTTCGAAAATTTGAACGCATTACACGAGCCGCATCATTTTTAAAACTCGTACCTATACAACTATAATAATTTGCATTTTCATGCTGCACATAATATAATATTTTTTTGTCGTACTGCACACTAAAATAGGGGCTGGGCTAATTTCATATCATGTGTAATTACACCAAAGTACAAAAATGTGCGAGAACACGCAAGCGCGTCTAATGCTGCAATATATTTTTTATTTAGAAACCGTCCACTCTTTCTCTGGAGACCATAAACTACCCCCTCACACCACACACACACACACACACACACATTTTATATAACGTGTAACGGGCCACAGATACATTTGTAAAACGTTTACATAAATATTATGTGTGTGTGTTTGTTAGTAGCAACTCTCTAGTTATAAGAAATATTCTATAAGCGCCTGTATATAATCTTATGTTTTATTTTAGGTATAGTTTTAACAATATATTTTGTTTATATTGCTGTTTTCGAGTGTTCACAACGACCGTATTATTATATTATGTATTAGATATCTTTAATAGCCATTTACTCTTGTATAACATTATATAATATATGTACACTTTTACGGCCGATTCGTGCACGTGTGATGACCAAAATTTTAAACTCTTATTTAGATCACCACCATCATCATTCACTCCTCAATCCCATCACTATACCCATATACCATATTATGTATAGGTAATGTGCCAATATAACTAGCAATTCAAAATCAACTTTTCCATATTATATATGGGTTACATTGCGCTCGGAATCGGTTGGCACGTCGCTTTTTTTCCAATCGATAAAATTATGTATAGGCTTGCCCCCCTAGATGGGGACGTAGCTGTCGGTTAATAAATCGGTAGTTTTTCATTCGCATTTTTTTTTCCCCCCCATTCCGTTGAACACGTCGTCATTCTCGTGGACTTTGGCGGTTGACGAACGATACCGATCGGACCGTCACGCCGCTGCTGACGTGTTGATGAACGATTTGGTTCTGTTCGTGTCTGCCTGTCCGTTCTCAGTCATCAGTGTTGTATAGACTGGTCGCGTGTCGATGAGTACCACCCTGCCTACCCATAGGTAATGACAATGGTGTTGTATGAAAAATGTAAATCAGAGATAGGAATTGTCCATCCGCTTGTACGATAACATTGTGTAATAAATAATAATGATATAGGCACGCATTGTCCACCACGCCGTTAACTGCTGCAACTGCTTGATTGTATATCTATCTAAAGGTACCGAATAGATCTCGATTATAATATATTAATATAGGCATTAGGCATACCCATAGTTTTGTACACGCACATACGTAATATGCATATTAATAAATATAATATATTATTATTATTATTATTATTATTATTACGTCATATTGTGTTAGTTGACACGTTTTTGTATTGTATTACGATGTACCTACACTAATATTGTTTATTGTTCTGTTTATTGTTAGTATTACATGTGTATTGACTATATACCGTTTTAGTATGTGTTATTAAAAAAAAAACTGAAATTTTATTTTTATTTCAATAAAATTGTCGTTATTACACCGCTAACTGCGTACTGCGTTATTTTATTTGCCCGTCGCCCCCGGTGGAAGACATAAGCGCCAAAATAAGATAAGAAAAAAAAAGTCGTATCGTACAAAAGC